ATGCACGCCCACTCGAGTGGTTCGCCACGGCAAATGCTCAAAGAATGCAAAGAACGCGGTGGCGAGGCATGCAACAGTCGCATCGACTAGCCACCCTAGTCGTGCACCCTCGCTAGTGGTGGCAAGCATGAGCGGCTGTTGCGCCACCAGCAGGCCATGTTCTCATATGCTGCTTATTATACTCAGCCACAATTGCGGGCCACCGCGCAGTGCCCCACTCCCTACCTCGCCACAGTCACGGTTTTTATGTCAAAATTGTATTATCTATATTATTAAAAGAATTTGTTGAATTCTTGTGTGCAGCAAATCAACCCCTAAATATTTATTTTTATAGGCATATTGGGTACCAATTTAAAGCTCTTGTCCTCTTAGATGTGCCTTTTGCGGGTTTGGATGATATTCCATCACCCCCCCCCCCCTTTTGTCCTATAGGCTTTTAAAATTTTGTACATGCTGAATCCTGTTGTCAATCATCTGATCTTTTTAAGTTTACATTTGTTTACATCAAAACAGATGGCCATGATACAATTTTGTTTACATCCATACGAAAATGGGGTTATCTGTAGTTGCTGATGTTTCAGTGAATTCAAGTAAAATGTTGTGATGTTATTTGTATATAATGTAAATAGGAAAATACTTGCGTTAGATTTTGTGTTGTGATAGGATTTTGTGTAAATATAAAAAAAAACTTCTTGTCATAGTCTCTGAGATCACCATTAAGTGTAAAAAATTCTCCTTTAGAAGAAAGCTTTCAGTAACAGATGGACTCCAACACTGTTGTTTCGCCTATGTTTACGACGCGTTAAAGTAGAAGAAATAGTTCATCTTCTTCACTTGACGACTATATCATTCAAACCTCGCCACACCTAACGCCACCCCAAGCGACTGAGCAGTCGCGGTCTTGAGCAACTCGAGTGGCCGCACATAATAAGGCTCTTATCTATATCTATAAAAGAGGAACTATGTATGTATGTATATATGTATGTACCTTAAGGACTCCGAAACCGCTCCACAGATTGTAATAAAACTTTCAGGTTTGTGTGAAGTTTGGTGCAGATCTGTCAAAAGGGCTTCACCCCAGAGGGTTTTAAGTGGGCCAATGTCAGACTTTTTTAACTACAATGTTTACAAATAAATATAATTTAAAAGCTTGTTTACTTTCACCAACTGTTTTGTAGGTTGGAATAATCACAACATTCTGTATTAGTCATGATTTGAAATAGTGCCACAATGTTTCCACAGAGTGCAGCGAAGAAAACTATTTTACTTTTGAATAAGTCCAAATATATTAAACCCTAATCGCAGCACATGCAATGCCTAAATATTGTTATCTTTTGTTCTATACACACACAATCTAACATAAATAATTAAGTGAATAATAATCGTCCGTTCTATCTCAGGTATTCAAATGCCTCTCAATTTGTCATTAACCCACCACATTACTGTCATTAAAAGAAGGAACTCCAATAATACTAATGCAAAACTTAAATCCACCAAAGCTATGCAACCTTACTAGACTAACGATTAAAAAAATTACACCAAAATTGATTGAAGCAAAAATGATCAGTGTAAGTTTAAAAGAGAAATAGTCTTAATCCCAAGAATACTGATGATTTCATCCGAATTACCCTCTGAATTTAAGCAACTACAATTTCCTTTGTGCCTTGCTTTCGCAATCACCATTATAAGGCACTAGGGCAATCCCTGACTATCATCGGTTTAAATTTAGAAAATTCATCCTTTTCACACGGACAGCTGTATGTTGCGTGCTCACGTGGTGGTAGGTACGCCTAAAAACTTATATATTTATACAGTACACCTAATAAAAAAAAACAAAAACATTGTTTATTCACTGGCAATTAAGTAAAATATTATATTTTTATTTTTGGTATACACTTTTATTATTCATCGTAAAGAACAAATTACCATTTAAAATAATAGTTGTTAAGCGCAGCAACACACGCCGGGTAACTGCTAGTACACAAATAATTCCAAAAAATGTCTACAGTCTTGCAATAATATTTACTTTTAGTAATAAAAAAAACTAGCTGTTACCCATGGGCTTCACCCTGTTTGCCTTCACAAGTATTATTAAAACTATTAATTGGTTAAGTTAAATTGAAGTACTGTAAACAAAACAGAATACAGTGATACAAACAAATAATCACACCTGATTTTAATAAGGTACTAAATTGAAAGAATAACATACAAATAAGTCGTACAGCTGAGGTATTTTTAACATTTGGTATATGGAAAGTTGCCTTTATAATGTAATTACGACCTTAAAGGGCAATTTATGAAATAGTAGATAGTTTTGCACAAGGTTTCTTGTCATGACGATTATTTTAAGCATATGGTTTATGGGGAAGTGACTTGTAGTGTTCTCAAAAGTTCATGGGTACTTTGGGCTTTATATATAGATTACACATCATTTCTGAAGAAATACCACCACATCAGTGACACTATAATCCAATGATTAAAAATTTGGAAATGATGCTTCTCAAGCTCTCAGAAAATTAGGGGTGAAACTACACTTGCTTCTACCATTTAAAAAATAATGAAAATATATTTTGTTTTCTTGGACTTTTGTAATAGTAATATATCTTAAACTTTATATGCATATACATGAATTCCCTCATTGGTAGAGTCTCTCTAAATATCAAAGAAACTAGCAGCATAGCCACAAACTTCACTGATACTGGAAATATCATAGAAATTAGCTATGGTACATGTGTTTTTGGCAATGTTTGCAATAACGCCAAGAACGTTGAAGATATAAGTGATGATTGTTAACGTTAGCCAGGCTATCAATATTGCCACAAAAGTTGGTAATAATAGGAATGTTGCCTGAAATTTCCTATAATCAAGTAATGATGGTCATGCACATTGACAATGCTGAGGATATCTCCATGAACGGTGGAAAATTGAGTGGTTTGCAATGTTGCTACAAAAAGTGGAGAATCTGGTGATGATACCACAAACACCAATGAAGATAGTAATATAGTTGCAAATGTTGGCGAAGTTAGTTACTGATGCCTCTAACAACAAAAGAGAAACTTTCAACCAACTAAAATGTTGTCGGCAACATTTCCATTGTCTATCGGTGTCCCCATCTCAGTGATTGGCGATTGTCTCCTGTGATTGCGGCACCGGTGTTGTCATCTCCCACATATTCTACAACATTGTTTTCAAGCAAACTCTTTTAGTGTTGTAACTATGAGAGCCCGCTTGACGAGATCTCTCATAACGCCAATATCTTCTGCAATCACAGCTACATAAACATCAACCGCAATTGTGATAATTTCACCATCATTATGTTGATTACCGTTGATTAAATCTGAGGGTTTGATCCCAATTAGTTTGGAATAGCGAGACTACTGTATTATAAAACAATAGGCCTATCATAGTTAGTTATTATTTTGCCTTGTAAAATGAGATTTTTTTCTCATAGGTGGTGTTTAGGGACACTGTAACTTCTAACATACACGAAGCTCATATACATTTCTTGGTATAAAATAGTTTTTTTTTAGTTCCTATAATAAAACTAATATTGTCATATCTAACAACTATAAAATAAGATCAAAAATTTAAAAAATATATTCTTAACAGTTAAAGATTGTGTGGGATCAGTACTTGATTAGGAACAGCACAATAACCGTCGGTATAGAGGCTTTGGTGACAGTCTAATGTTTTCCTCTACAGACATCTCTTCACGACTGTTGTGAGAATCCATGTAGTCGTCAACAATCATTTGAAATAACACATCTGAAATAGTTAATAATTTCCCTTAAATTTGTTGCAACCACCAGGTAACCATGAATTCAGTATACAGTAATTAAAAATTAAGCACAAGCTTACAAAAAGTAAAATATTTACAATCCTATTAAAAAACCTTGAGTTAAGTAGAGGAAAAATATTTTCTGGAAAGTATAGCTTAGCGTGAAAACAGCATATGTTCAGCAACAAAAATCCATGGTGACAAATAGTAATTACCGCAAACGAGTCTCGGTACCATAGAAGCTGTAACGAGAAAACAGCACAAAATGTCTGGATTAGGCCCAGCGCACACGGTGTGACTGTTTTACAACTTTTGTTGCACCTCGGCAATGTATTGCAGTGGGGAGGCGCACACGACGCAACTGGTTGTATGCGATTTCAAAAAAAGTTTGAAACCAGTCACATGCAACCGTGGGCCCGACGTTGCAGTTGCGTTACAGACTTCAGTTGCACGAGACCACGGGGTGTTTTTGTGGTGTTAGGTGGTATTTTGGTGGAATTTTGATGGCCGAATAGTGTTTTTAGTGTTTATAATTTCCTATCCGAATAGCTCTAGCTGCTACAAACAGCCTAATACTAACATTCTTGCTCAAATAAGGGTGAACCCAATGCTCTCTCAGTACCCTTCGCTGTCTTCGGTATTGATAATAGCTAATAACGTCTTCTTCGTCTAAGTCCGACATAGTAAGCGCACTTAAGGCCTTAAAATAATGTAACTGCACTAAATTTGCACTCCACTGATTGCACAATAGACGCAACTGTAGTTGTAAAACAGTCACACCGTGTGCGGACAGAAGTTTTGTTTCAGTTGCAAACTGGTTCCAGACGCAACTGGTTTGCAACAGTTGTTGTAAAACAGTCACACCGTGTGCGCTGAGCCTTAAAGATCGTTAGAGTGAAACTGAAACTATAAATGTGTTGCAGTGGTTTAAATAACACAATTTGTACTTTGAATTGGTAAGCTTCATCCTTTTGCCCCAAGAAGTACTTAATTAGGAACAGCAAAATAACCGTCGGTGTAGAGGCTTTGGTGACAGTCTAATGTTTTCCTCTACAGACATCTCTTCACGACTGTTGTGAGAATCCATGTAGTCGTCAACAATCATTTTAAATAACACATCTGAAATAGTTAATAATTTCCCTTAAATTTGTTGCAACCACCAGTAAGGATACAACTGAAGCAAAAGCGTTTGATAAATTTGGTATAAATTTATTTACTTTATCTAACAAAAATAGGCTACCAAAAATTTACTATTACTAACAGAATTACACAACTTCTCCTACAAGACGTTGATTAGAATTTCCAGCAATACATTGTGGTCTTCGTCGTCTTGACAAGATATTACTCTCGGGTCTTGGTCTGCTCCATTGAGTGTGTTGGTGGGAGCATACACTGTCTGCGCTCTGTACCACATGACGTCATCTGTCGTCACCGACAAGGACGATATGAATCCACTTTGTACAAAGCACCGAGTGAGATCGTAATACACCTCGTATGGATGGAGATAGTCCGGATAAAAATTGCTGATTCCTACGTTGTTATTGCTGCTGCCGTTGCTGTAGCTTTGGCTGGTACAGGTTCTCTTGACGGGACAGCCTAAGTAAAAGTGTTGTAATCAGTATTGCTCATCAAGTAAAGGTTTAAAGTCCATTTTAAATGTTATATGACATTAGAAAGAAGGTTTGATCAGCAATCAAGTTAGATCAATGGTAAAGCGTGTGTCTCTAGAGGATAGCATCGTCAAACTCAATCTCTCACTTAGTTCTTTTTATTTCCAATAGGAATTGGTAGCGTTAAGAAAAGTACTACTAGCGCATTCTATTGGGCATTATCAAAATTCAAGCTCCATATATTTCCATTATGTTGGGTTGAAGTAAAAAAACTAACACTATAATACCTAAGGGATTTCAAGGAGTATACGGATAAAGTATTAACAATTTAAGAATATTTTCAAATTATAATTGGAGATGGTGAGCTCAATACACATGTTATAATAAAGGTATTGCATCTAGAAGAAATGTGGAGTTAAATTAAATGTAGATAAATGGAACAAATTAAAGGTAATATATGCAGGGGTGCCCACAAGGGGGGGCTGAGACGCAAACTGCGTCATTGAAATTCTTGGGGGGGGGTTGCAAAAATTCAAATGGGGGGGTGGCTAAATTTAATTGCAACAGTGTTCAACATGACGACAATCAAAAATACATTACGAAGTCACCAGATAGAAAGTCTAATAATTGATGACAATAGTTTATTATTGAATTCAATTAGCTAAAATAGCAATGTTTAGGATTCGTGTAGTAAGTTATCATACAAGATTAGCAAGACGTGAGATCTAAGAGGGAGGACACGGAATGGCTCAACTGCTGTGATAGATAAAGATAACGCGTGGTACAGACCAAGTCCAGCTACACCGCGACTCAGCACAGAACGTTTTGTTGACATAAAGCTCGTTAAAATACAATCAAGTTGCATAGGCTACAATACTGTACACTATTGTGTAGATACTCGATTACCGGAGTTTATACTGGGGGGGAGGGTAATGAAAATACGTTTAATACAATATAGTATAAAAACAGATAACAAACCCATTAAAACGCTGTAAACAGCCATTAACGTCACGATTTGCATTTTTATAAACGAAATTCAATATTGCACAATCATTATTATTGTGTAATAATGACATTTCAAATAATTTCTCTTGGTTCAGTTGTACAAACGGCAACGTTTAAAATTATAGCTAACTCAAACTCAACTAATAACTAGCCAAACACTGCATTGCTATAAATAACGTAAATATTTAACCTTAGAAAATGTTATAAGCTGCTGTTCATGACGATAGACAGATAGGCTACCGGTATGTGCTATCACAAGGTGGGTATCACAACATAGGAATTGATAGATAAGTAATACAAAATTTTAAAATTATATTTAGAGATAGTAAAAACACTCTTAAAAAAGAATGTAACGAGAACAATCTTGTTATTCTTTTTCTTTGTTCTTCTGTTCTTTGTTAGGTTTCTCTTCAATTCATACACAAATTCAACAAGTCGCCATATTTAGGCCTACTCATTGCCCAATCACAGCCTTACTAAAGTTACCATGGTTACTAATCACTCAATCACAGTTTACTAAGCATTATATCGTCATTATTCCCCAGCTGTTGTATCTGAAATATGTTGTTAAGTCGTTGTAACATCGCGCACAGCAGACAGAAGTGTAAAACGGAGCAGACGATTGTTGGCACAATCGTTTTTTCCATTTCATTTTCATCAAAGGAGCTGTGATGTTTCCAAAGGGAGGAAGAGGGGGTCGTTATATATATCAAGAGGAAGACGCTGACAATTCGTTAAGCAGAGCTTACGAACGCCATATAGATATTCTGGCAATAAAAATTCCTTAAATTGAGGTGACTTATAAAACTCTTTTATTTATATAGAAAGATAAGTCTTCCAGTCCTGTACAACACTGATTCATGGTCTTTTCCCGGTAATCAAAATTCAAGTACAACTTGATACACACAGAATCTCCGGTTCCCGACCTGGATGATGGCTAATTATTTAATTTAATTTACAGTTACATACTCGTATTAGTACCCGTGATAAATCAAACCCGTTATGTAAGCCAAAGCCACACGGTTATTAATCTCACTTGGTTTTGGATTTGCTTACAAACATGATCGGAAATGGTTAGGGCCTACACAGTATTCGTAAACAACATTTATGTAAACATATCAATGACAGCTAGAAAAAGGACTCTATATCAAAACAGCTGGTCGTAATTTCATATGACGTGTTCTCTTAACAGATTATTAGTATTTCATAAATACGTATGTAGTAAACAGGGGAAAAAACTTGAAAAATCACACAAAATTGGGTTTTTGATCGTCCGTTATTTTATTTCCAAAGTAGTGAGGCCATATTTTAATGGCTAAGGACACTCTCGCCAATCCTGTGAATTACACTAGGGTACAAACCATCAGAATCATAATCGGTACTCTAGTTTTCTTTAGAGTAGGCTGCGTAAAATGCCTTCTGGGCCGTGACAGACGGACATAAATTGAGATAAGACGTGTTTCAACTTCTTCAATGTATAAAGCGTAAAAATACACTAAAATATGTATAATTATGAGCAATGTACAGACAAACAAAACTATAACTTTATTTATGATTAACTGGGTTTGAATTTTCAATACGTAAAACAATGTATAAAACTTCTTTCAGTTTTACAAATAATGCTGGGCGGGGGAATAATGTTTATCGTTTGTTGTGTACATCATTTATGGTGGGGGGGCTGTTGCTCAATTGTGGGGGGGGAGTGCGTCATGAGTCTAGGGGGGGATGGGCACCCCTGATATATGACATAACTTAAACATATAACTAGCCTATCTATAATAATGAGCTAATTTCTTTAACTTAGTTGTTGTAACACCCCCCTCCCCTATTGTAATAATATATTATTTAATTAGTGTTGAGTCTTTTGACACTAGTGGATGTTCTGCAGTGCATCCTGGTGAATTTCAAAATATAAAGTTATTTTGAAAGTTTCAATATTACTTATGATATAAAGGTTGAATTTGAAAATGTTCAAGTAACCTTAAACACAATGTTTGAGCGGAGCGAAGTGAAGCTCTTATATACTACACTCCTGCTTTTGTTTTACAAATACTCCTCCTGAACTGCTGAAGCAATCTCCACGAGATTTAGCACAGTGATCCAACCATGGGAAGGTATAAATCTGAAATGGTACAAATCGGACCACATGATTTTTCCCTACGTGAATTAAAACTTTTAGAAATTTAACATGGGCCTTATGGGTTAATTGGTCGTCATGAAATTTCTTGCTAGATAACAAAAAAGGTAAACAAGAGTCGCAACATACGTTAGTCAACGAATCATCTAAAATAGGACATTACAAATACCATACAGAGAAAAAGGGAAGAATAATCGGATTAATATTATTGAGCATAATTGACTACCAAATGAATAATTAGGGTCGCCGCAATTAGGCTGATGCACCATTTACTTTAAATACTCCAAATAGCAGTTCTATCTCTGTGAATCAAATATAGGCCTACCATTGAGTTTGTATATTACAAGTAGACTTTCCATTTACGTGAACAAGACGTTGACATACCATTAATGCAGATTTTGAATAGGTACTGCAAATAGGAAAATTCCAATAATGTGAACCAAAGATACCAATGAGTTTGGATACTGCATATAGGTACTCCATTTATCAAATAAGCTTATTGCAGGATTAATATACTAGCTCCACTCAATATTGCTAGCAGACAACTGCATTGTACACCTAGTTATTCAAATGTTAAACTCAATTTAGGTAGACAGTGTTTTTACAACATATTGATACTATAAAAACAAACGTATGTGTAATTATAATTATATGTAAGTATATCACATATTTATTTATCACAGAGATAGCTAAGCTAGTCACTTAGGCAAGGTGACAAAAGTCGCTGGCTTGAGACTAATACAAAGAGTTTTTAACGGTCTTAATTAAAGTTAAGTATTAGGCTGTCACAAGTTAATAGCTTGCCAACTTCCCTGGTTTGAAACCAGGACGCGGCATCTTTTTACACAAATTTTAGAACTATAAAATCACCTTTAATGTTTTCTTGCAAAAATAAAGTTCCAGCTTCCTTGGTTTGAGAACCGGTTGCAACAAATACTTTTTACCGTGGATTATTTAAATGCAAACGTTCTGTTATTCTGTTTCCTCATTGCAGCTTCCACGGTTCGAGACTTGGTCGTGGCAATTCCTTTTTACTATGGTGGATTTAGGTTATTTTAATACTTTGAATTTAAATGGCGACCATACGAATGTAGGTATTTTAAGCCAAGTATGAATGGAGACGAGAGTAGGATGAGTGGATTTACGAATTGGTCTAATTATCAAGACAGTACTGTGGTGCGGATAGTGGTAGTACTCACTTGTGCGGATGTTAATCCACACCAGGGAGTATTGCATCCACAGATCATGCCTATAAATATCCACAATATGTGACCTCCAAGTAGCTGGATTACAGGACGACACCATGGTCCCAGTCTCCGGTTGAAGAACATATGCTGTTTTCACTTTAAACTGTACTTTCCAGAACATATGTTTCCACTATACCGAGTTGTATTGTCGGAACGACTTTAGGTTATTTCATTACCAAATAATATTTTAAAACACATTATCTTAGGAGAATAGTCCTTGTATTCTAGTAAAAGAATATTACTATAGGCTAGCTATTTTTATGATAAAAAAATTAAACTAAAATAATCTGTAATATTACTGTTGTGTAAGCTACAGTATATGGTTTAGGGCTTATATTTCTCTAACTACTAAATCATTATGAAATTGAATACAGCAAAAATAAAAACAAGGAAGTTTCATAAAGTAAATGTTGATTTATGTTTTGTAAACTGATAATTAATTTATCCCATGAATGTTCCTCTGTTTATTCAAGCAGTAGCAACTCCAGGGGGGGCATACTAGAGTGCTGGCCTAGGGATGTAATTGTGAGGAGTTTTTTTCTTCTCACGAGGGAAGAAGCCATTGGGATAACATTCAAGGAGCCTGGGATGAGGAAGAGCAGAGTGGAGGGGAAGCAGGTTTTTAATTCTATGATTTTAACTCTATTAATAATTTATTTTAATTATATTTAATTCTGTAGAGGGATTCTATGGATTTATGGAAAGTAGAGAACCAAGCCAGCCACTTCGTATGAAGCTAAAAAAGTTTTAATTTTTACTGTGCTTTTGAGTTATATGACAAGGCCCATTCCAGTCTACTGGTCAACGGCTGATTTTATTGAGCGAGGTCTCAAGGTACTTATTTATAATACCAAGGTAACCTACTTAAACATAAGGTGCAGTAGGTTAAAGTGAGGCATTGAATAGATACTTACTGACATTTTCCCCCGTTTTACTTGATACCTCAATAATCTTTGCTTGAATTCCTGAAAAATAAATAGGCCTAAATAAATCTAAATAATACTATAATTTTTTTATCAAGGCTGTTGTATCATCTACAAAAAGAATAAGTTCCTGATCAATAGCTACATGTCGCAAGTCACAAACACACGTGTAACACCTGTGGAAAAAGTCAGCAAGGTAAGATGAGTATGGCCCCTGCCTGAGATAGCTTTTAACTAGTTTTAGCGAATTTCCCTATACGGAAGAAGCTATAACCGTAGCTGGCACGGTAAGACCCAGGCCCGGGACCAATATCCTTCTTCATTTTGATATCCCTAGAGGCCAAAAACACTATTTGTTAAAATTTTACCAATTACCCTATAAATAAGTAGTTATAATAAGTGTGACCACTGTCAAACTATTCCGCCAATAAAGATGGAAAATACTTTCATGCAGTTGATATTTTTAAGTCCTGAAATTAAAATTAATCCTCAATTCCCCCCCCCCCCCCCCACCAAACAAGTGGCCGCCTAGTTTGCCTATTTGGGCAAGTTGGACCTGTCTTACTGTAAGCTATCTGTGGAAATATTAAGAAAACCCTCTTAGTAGCTAAAAATTGTTATTTATTATTTATTAGACATTTCTATGTTATAAAATATTTATATTTTACCTGCTGCGTGTTTGGTGGTTACTTCAAAGTCAATATCACGTGGCCTGTTTCCATCTTTCACAAGATCTTTCTTTGTGCCACACAGGTAAATTTTGCAATCCTACACAAATCATTTTTGCATATTAATCTCATGTATAGATAGTTTCACAATAAGTATAATATCAATATTTTATTGTAATACATAGCTTTACCCAGCACACTTCGTTTGGGCCGTTAACTAATAAGACAAGTATTTAAAGCTACCTTAGAAACATTTTTGTTACCCTATCACTGATTATAGGGTTAGGGTAAGTATCTTTTAAAGAAAAAATAGTTGAATTTTTGTTGGAAAAGAATTATCTATATAAATAAAATTACAGCTTTGTCTGTACATTGCGTAGAATCATGCAGTTTTTGGTTATTTTTACGTTTGATAGCCTAAGAAAGACGAAAGAGTCTTATCTCAATTTCTGTCTGTCATTCTGTCCGTAGCTCCAAAATGTCAGTTATTTCGTTCTAGTGTTGCCAATTTACACGGCGGCCTACTCCGAGAAAACTAGAGTACCGACCAAGATTCAAATCATTTTTTTGTATTCACTGGATTGGTGAGAGTGTCTTTGGCTATTAAAATATAGCCTCGCTACTTTGGAAATAAAAAAACAACCGAGTCTGAAATGGCAGTCGTTAAAAGATTTCTTGAAGTTGCAATTTTGAGGCGCTCGCTAGAAGTCAGAAGGAAATCATAAATGTAGGCATGGCTTGATCTTGATATGCATATCAAATTAAAGGTCTTTATTAGCGGAATACAATACTAACCTGAACTCAAATGTATAACTTAGTCGAAAATGGAAGCTGTTCAAAGATTCAAATTTACATATTTAAGAAACTTATGAAAGGCTGCCATTTCAGACTTGTTTGTCCGTTTGAGTTTGGGTTTGTGGTATTGTATTTTACATACAAGGACCTTTAGTTGTATGTACATTTTTTATCAACTTATGCTTACCTTAAAGATTTTCTTCTGACTTCTAGCGGGTCGTCCCCCTGGGAAGTTAGTGTATGATTATATAATAAATTAAAATCATATTATGTCCAGCGACTTTGTTCCAAATTTTGTAGCAGCTAGCTTTAATATTTTTTTAAATATTTAGCTGCAACATTTTCAAGCGTTAAAAATGGTAAAAATCCATTCCATTTCTAAGCTTCTGTAACTCTGTAACCGTTAAATCTAGGCCTATTAAAATTTTTAAAAAACCATTCTCGTTTAGAATTTTGTGTATATTATTTTTGTATAGGACGTATTTTGTGCTACAATGCATAGCTTCTGAGATAAAAACAAAAAAAGTGCCATTTCTCCAACTTTTACCCCCTTCCCCACCAAACACAACGCTCAAATAAGTGTTAACTTTTTACTGAACATTATGTGGACTGTGCTGAAGACCTTGGAGTCAAAAGTGTGCAGTCACTTTGGATGTCCGGGTTAAGCCCTTATCCATTGTACTATGATACCAAGATCTGATTTTGATCAGGATCAGTTACTGATACTGACCTTAAAAATGTGATGGCAGAAAGCTTAATGTTAATTTGTTATAAACTTAATATTACCATTAAATAATCAAATTCTCTGATGTAAACCTTCAATCAATATTATATAATGTTACTGAATTATGAGTGGTGGGAGGCAGTTTGGATTTATGAAACGCCGCGATCGCGATCCAGGGATCCGTGCTGGAGCTGCCCCTGGTGTCTACCTCATCCTATATGAGCAAGGTTTGCTTGTAGGTATGTATGTATGTATGCTTGCTTGCTTGCAAGAAAGATCTTGAAAACGGCTCCGACAATTTTCTTCAAATGTTGTAAATAGTTTATTTCTGGCCTAAAAAAGAGTTTACTGCAGTTAGAACTGCCATCAAAAATCAAATTACGTAAAAAATGAAACTGAAAGTCAAATTTTTTTAACATTAGTCTTATGGGTTGCTAAGTAACCATGTTGGTTGAATTAAATAACAAGGAAAAGTAAACAAAAGACTTGAAGTTGTAGCATGTGTTCACAATATAAGCCATCTCCCCACAGTATTGTACCATCTATATATATATATATATATATATAATACGCTAAGCCGATTTTTGTAAACAGAACTCCTCCCTCATTTTTGGACCGATTTTGATGATTGAAGTGTCAAAACAATTGCCCTAATCTGTAGTTTTGCAAAGTGTTTTTTCTTTTTTTGAAATCTTTATTAGTTTGGCCAGGATCGTCTATCAAAGTTGGGTTTTCACCCATAAGATTAACATGGGGGAATTCAAGTATTTTATTGGAAACTTTGTCTCCACTAATTTGAGAGAACGGCTGGGCGTAGAAACTTGGTAAAGGTGTCCAAAGAAAGGTCTTTGTCTGTAGATGAGTGATCAAATGAAAAACGAAGTAAATTCGCTTAGGGCTCTGCCCCAGAAGCCTTTAAAGATCCCTCCACAGATTTGTTTACATTTTGGTCATGTCGATAATACTTTTTAATAAAACAGCTGTTAATATTAAAATTGTATTTTAAACAAAACTCATTTATTGGGAGTTACTGAATTGTCCAAAAGAAGTATTTGAAATGTTATTTTCTGATTTTAAAGTTGATTTTCTTCTGTATCATGTCATGTGTTGCAATATAAAGTTCCATAACGAAATCAGTAGAAAATCCTTTTATCACAATAACTCTAACAAGTATTTCTTTTATCTATCTTATATCTATTTTACGGGTTGGTGTCTGCCTTTTTCACACCTTTTCCCTATATTTTATCGTATTATTCTAGACAGATAATCATAGGTTCATGAGATTATTGTCATACGTGCTTTCAATCATTGGAAAAATCTTCGATTGTGTAATACAATACAAAATAGTACCAGTGCAGAAGGGCACGGTGCCCATTTGAGCCGTGTCCGTATTTTGTTAAATTAATAGTGGTTTACAGCAACTGGATAAAACATTTTACAATATTCATGTAGAAATATGTGCATGATTTAGAAAGTCATTAAGCTATAAAACTGCAATATACTGCAGACTGTTCAGAGAGGTTACTTCGATGTATTCATTCAGCTTATTAAAAACATAATATAGATATGTATACAAATAAGAACTTGAACTTTTAGAGAGCCTTTGAATGTTATTAGACTAACGAAAAGGTTATTATGTAACTGAAAAGGCTGTGTAACGAGCTATTTTCCCTAGGGGGGTATATTTTTGCTATTTGGCCGCGCACCGATTGTTGAGGTAAGCTAGCGGCGGCGGCGAAGCTAGCGAGCGCCCTTTGACCCGGCTTATCAGTGCCGATAAGCCTGGGATATCCTAGATGTTCAGGATAGCCTAGGACGGACATTCTAGTGGTGGATCTCGGACAGTCAAGTAGTGAGTGTTGGTGTCCTGTGCCTGTGGAGACGGCTGGCGTACGTTGGTGGTACATCGGAGTGTGGTGATACCGGTGAACAGTGTTGGTGTTAAGTTGGGTACTGACCCACTTGTGGTGAGTGGACGACTTGATATTATTAGTTTGATAATATTAATATCTGGTTTTATTGCGAGAGTTAGAGTTGTAACCGTGCTGGTCAAAGCCTGACGGTAGTTAGGATTTATATTAGTCAGGAATAATATTTAAGTGTATTCCTGACGGTTCTGGGCAGGTGCTAGAGCGCAAATAATATAATTTAATTGACTGTAGTAGATATTATTTTGCGTTGTACCTAGAGTTAGTTATATTACTAATAACTCTGAGGCCCGACAAACCTAGGCTGCACGATTTAGCGTGCGTAGTCGGAAGCACGAGGCCAGTAGGCTAGTAGCTAATTTTATTAGCCTATTAACAGAAGCCCAGCTAAGCAATATAACGTTGATATAGTAGCAGTAGTTGTAGTAGCAGTAGGGTTGGTATTGATTAATCATTTAATTATTTTAATTTAACCTGAACAGCTTGCTTAGTAATCCAACACGTTAGCTTGGTAGCTTGGGTAGCGGAGTACCGGCTATCAGATAATATATTTATCTAGTGTTTGGAACGTATTTAATATTTATTTAACTGCTACTAAGTAGCTCAATATTTTAACAGTGCAATTGCCATTTAGTTTTGCTTGTTTGGCTTGGTATTTATTGAGACCAGCTACTAGTGGTGTAGTCACTCTACCTATAGTGTACTTGTATATTATTATATGGTACGATCATTGAGTGAACTGTTTGATTCTTAGCTTGGGCATTAGAGTTGTGTATTGGATTATAGTGGCCTAGTAGACCCCGCCTGGTGATAACACGCGTTGTGGTTTTTATTGGCAAGTCGTCGTGTAACTCACCGTGTTTTAGGCACTCTGGGCTTAACTATTGGATAGTTAGGACGAAGCCCGAGTTGCGTAGTCAGCAACGACCCCCTAGGAGTGTGGAGAATCGGCGTAGGCCTGGTAGTGATTATTGCACGTTTGTTTTGGTGACTTGTTTTTGACTTGTTCACAGTGCCCGTGTATGAGCCAGTCCTATACCGGTTAGACCCGGCTTTTGGCCTAGTGGTTTCCCTGACCTTATCGCAGACCCTGGAACAATACCCAGCCATTGTAGGCTGAGCTATCCTCGGCAAACGGTTGCGACTGCACTTTTAATATTTTTTTTCCCACTGCAGAAAATATCGTCGCAAGATGGCGCCTGCGAACAGGGACTGAGGTTGGCAGTGTTGCTGACGTATTAACGGCGCCCGAACAAAATAATTTTATTTGTGCAGATTTGCTGCGGACTTGTGCAGATTGGCTGCGGACCTGAGCTGTTGAGCAGAGTTTTAGGCAGACCTGCTGTGATTTTATAGTCGGTTGGGTAGGCCTAACCTGTTTTCTGTTACAGCGTGGTGTGTTGTGAACCCTAATTTATTTAGTGGTTGTATACATAGATATTAGTTAGTAATTTTATTTTGCTAATTAATTGAGCTTTATCATCGAATATTATTTGAGTGAGAACCCTTATTGTGTATTTGTGGTTTGACTTTCACACCTATAACTGGTTTGATATATTATAACGGTGTTAAATATATTTTAATTGGTTTCGCTCTTATTTTTGCGGATTAGTCGTGGTATTTGGATTTTAAATATGGTTGTGACTACGAGTA